TTTTTCTTTCAGGGTTTCTGGAGGTAACACACGGCTTCGAAGCAAGAGGGCTCTGGCAGGATGCAGAGGCACCGCGCCTGGGAGACGACGATGGGTGGGATCTCCAAGCCTGGTCACTCAAGTATATGGGTAGCATGCGAGAGGGAAGGAGAGTTGAAGGGGGTTCCTTCAGGTTTTGGCTCGCACGACTGTTTGCGTGAAGCGAAGACCGCAGTCTTCCGGGGATGTGCCTAAGTACTTCGCGCTGAACCGAGCTCGGGGTGCCTGCTAGCCTGCCTGTTGCCTGTGTGAGACGACGACTTGTCGCCCAATGTTGTCCACACCTCACAGGGCCTCACGGTCCTAACGTGAATTGCCACAATTACATTGGCACTGTGTTGCTCAGCCTTCTCGTCTTCCAGCACCTTCCGGCAACCCTGATGCCCTTCCTGGCTTGACACGAAACGACAAGCCCTGGGCCTCAAGCCCCGATCCAAGGCAAGACAAGACCCCAGGCACCAGTTCATTGATCCGAGGTGAAGACAAGCTGCTGGCGTTTTCGCCTTGTACCAGCAAAGCACGGCCGAGCCTCTCCAGAATGTCGCTGTCCCTCGGCGCGGCGTGAATGTTGGGGCCGAAAAGCTGAGAGTTGACGCTTGGAGCTTAGAGCTCAAGGGTTGAGGCTTCGATTTGGGAAGAGGGTGTGCCGGGCTTGTAGTCAGGGGCCTGTCATGGCCCGCTATTTTCCGCCGCGGATTTGCACAGCTTGAGGCAGTGTGCCGCTTGCTTTCTGGGGCTGTTGACCATGGCCGGCTTCCGAGCTATGACCCCTAAACATCTGCAAACCCACAACATCCAGGACCAGTCATCCAAAGTGCTGTATTCAGGGCACCTTCAAGCTCCAAGGACCTAGAGAACGAGCATCGAATTTTGCTGGGGATTTTTCTGAGCCTCGGAGGCTCGACTCTGATCCTCGGCCAAGGTGCAAGGCCAGCGTCCGGGTGATGGCCAGTTCCTTTCTGGTGACAGCTCTCCGAACATCTGAAACAGCCACGGAGCCCCAAAAATCCCTGCAGTCGAACCGCCGAACTTCCCAAAGCAGCTTCGAAGGCTTGGGACCTAGTCCTTTCAAGCTTTGGGGCCTTTACACCACGAGCCGAAGGGGAGGAAATTTGGAAAGCGGTTTACGCAGCTTTTTGGGACTCGCTCTCGACAACCCTGGCGAGGTTCCGGGGTGCAGCACAGGCAGATTCACCTGAAAGCACTGCGGGGTTCCACAGGCCGTGGCAGTCACCACTGCAAGAACCGAAAGCATGTCCAACTACAACCAACCGTCTGCCGATCTCATCTCCGCAGTAGCAGAGCCCACCGATGCTGAACCCCTTCATCCGAAACTGCCAAGCCCCGTGGGGCTACTCATGAGTATTAAAACCCAGAAAAGCTCTACAGCCTGAACTCTTCCTCCAAAAGCGCCGTCAAAGGTCTGACTGCACAATCGCTTCCGCGATGATGCCGTCGGAGGCATTCGTGGCGTTCTGGTCCAGGGTCGCCAGCAGTTGCCTCGCAGAGCGATCTGCCACATGGCGAGTCACGCAATCAAACCGGACGGCTTAATCAAGTCGGAACTTGGAATTCACGGTATTCTCATCGAAGCCAAACTTTCAAACATCCCGAGAACCGGATGCTATGTAGGGCCCGCATCTGAGCAAACAGCCCATGTAGTCACTGTTTTGAACCCCTGAGTCTTCATCCCGGCATCGATAAGACTTACCCAGCAGCTCTTGCTAAAACCCAGCCCTCGACTGAACCCCAACTTGCACCTGGCAAGTCCCTTCTCCGCGGCTTCCAGTTCGGCAAGCAGGATCTCTGCTCCCAACGGACCTGACGCTTCCGGCGTTCTGATTTCTGTCAGGGCCAACCCGGTTTCGGCCCTAAGCCTGCGGAGTGAGAGAGTCTGGGCACTTCTGATCATAGAGGCTGCTCTGAATGAGATGGGAGGCACTCTAGATCATCCTCTTTGACTTTGCAACGTAAACGGTTAAGCTTTTGAGGGTGTGAAAAGACCACGGGATGACTCACAGCTTCATGCTGGATCTTTCTAATTACTCCAGTCTGCTTGCGCTTCTGTCGTGTCTACGTAGGCGGGTTAGTAGCCCGAATACACGTCGGAGCAGCTCGGGCGTTTGGCAGCCGCGTGTTTACACATCTTCTGATCCACAAACCATGTTTTCACACAGTGCTGGTTATCGAGGTCTACCGGATGCTAGACATTGTAATCTTAGCGTTGGGTTATTGCTACCTATGCCTATGCGTTCCTGATGCCAGTGCTGCCATTGATTGGAAAAGCTGCTGTTTGAGCTCGTCGTGCTGCCCGTGTTAGCCGTGGTGGTGCTCGAAGGCGCTGTGCTGCTCGAAGTCGATGACGATGCCGTTGCCGAGGCATCAGCTGCCGTGCTGGTGACGGTTCGCATAACCGTGGAGCTCGTAGACGCCAGGGATGTCGTTTCTGAAACAGTCACTGTCTCGGTTATGGAACGCGAGGAGGTGCTTGAAACCGTCCCTGTAGTGGTCGCACTACTGGTTGTCGTGGTTGAGTCCGTGAGCGTGGCTGAAGAAGTTGTGGCCGTTAGCGTGCTTGTCGATGTTAAAGAAGACGTCGCAGACGTGGCCGTCGAAGTGGTGGAAGTTGTCGATGAGATGGTGACAGATGCTGTTGTGGATCCCGTCCGAGTGGATGTTTGTGTGGTGACGGTCTGTGAGGAAGCAGTTGAAGATGTTCGAGACACAGTGCTCGACGTGGAACTTGTCCGTGTGGATGTTGCAGATGTCGTGGTCTGTGTCGTGGCTGTTGAAGATGTCTCCGATGCAGTCGTGGATGTGGAGCTCGTCCATGTAGATGTTTCGGAGGTCGTTGTCTGCGTCTTTGTAGCGGAAGATGTCTTCGATGTTGTTGTAGATGTTTGGGACGTGGCTGTCTGCGTCGTTGTAGCGGAAGATGTCTTCGATGTTGTAGTCGATCCGGACTCTGTCGTTGAGACCGTCGATGAGGACGAGGACGAAGAAAGAGTCATGGTTTGCGACTCTGTCGTGGACGAGGTTTGCGTTGAAGAAAGCGTAGAAGACGCCGTGGAGGAGGACGAGACACTCGATGACGAGATAGATGTTGTCGAGGAAATGGACGTCGACGATATGGACGTTGTGGCAGAAGAAGTGAGGGAGGTACTCGACGTTATTGTGATGCTTGTAGAAGCGGACGTTGTCGCAGAAGAAGTGAGGGAGGTACTCGACGTTATTGTGATGCTTGTAGAAGTGGACATTGTGGCAGAAGAAGTGAGGGAGGTAATCGACGTTATTGTGGTGCTTGCAGAGGTGCTGCTACCTGGGAAGCTGACATTAAACCCCGTCGCTCATCACTGTCCTAATGGTTGGGACAGGGGACACTGCACATGACCTCAACAACGACGGCTGCAGTAATGCCAGATTCACAGAAAGTACAGCGTCGCTCTCTCAAATATCATCGTAGCACTTCGTACCTAAGAAATCTCGTAAAGCACCGCCTGCTCGGGAGTCTGTCATCCTCTATTGACTCCGGCCATACGTCAGAATGGATTGGTCATCATAACAAGTCATACCTGATCTACAATGCAGCCCACTTTCGCCTATGAGAAATTCCTCTCCCTCTCCTGCGCCCTCATGCCCGCGTGACTGTAGAGCACGACAAGTTAGTACAACGTGGCTTTCGTGGGCACAACGACGTGCTATTTTCGTCATTCCGTGTCAATCTTACTTCATCTTGGGTGCTCGTGCTCGTCTGGGAGGTGTGCGAGGCATCCAAGCGCCAGAGTTTCGCCAGCAAGCCACCCAAGTCCTTCCAAGAGGACTCGGCGCTGAGCTGCGCACTTTGAAATTTGCGGGGCAGGTTTGCTTCTTCAGGGGTTCTACAGTGAGCGGCACACTGCGACTGTTGCATGCTTCCGCTCTTCTGTAGCCTAGCAACGCAGGCTACCATCGTTTCGGGCCCTGAATGCAAATACAAGTTTACAAGGCCTCGAAACTAAACAAAACCGCAACACGCCACGGAGCCCTACGACGAGCTGCAGACCAGTCCTTGCCCGCATAGGTGTAGAGTCGCCGATTCCCTGCATCCCAGGCCACAGCACCTTTCTGCTTGTGGGTTCATGAAGGTTTCATATTTAAGCGATTTGGACAGGCTTGGTGGCTCTGTTTGCAGCTCCCCCGGTTATGACAGCCTCCTAGATTGTCATAATTCACCCGCAATTTCCGGAACTGAACACCACTACCCCGCAGTGTGATCGTGCAAGCCAATGCATTGATGTTAAGCATGCAGCACTTCACAAGGCCTGGTTGCTCAGGACCCTTGTTCACAAGATCCTCAGCAAAGGCTTTTTCGACCAGCATTAGAGTCTCATTAGAGAACAAGGACAAGCCGGAAACCCAAAAACCAAACCGTTCTTTAGGCATAAGGGACGCGTCCTCCCGCGAACGCTCGGCACCCAGAGCCTCCCACCAGGCCCGTCCCACCCGCAAATGCTCGGCACGCAAAGCTCCCCCCGTCCCCCACGAACGCTCGGCACCACCCGTCCCTGTTTACGCCCCCGCAAGCCACGTTCGCGTCCTCCCGCGAACGCGCACGCTCGGCACCCAGAGCTCCCCACCCGTCCCCGTCCACGGCCAGTCGACACGATGCGGTGGACGCGTCCTCTTCGCTAAAAGGCTTTTCCGGTCACGACAACGTTTTTTGGTGAATGCTCCCCCGCGGGAACGAAAAACTAAACAAGAACCCAACCCTCCAGGGGTTTTTTGCAAAAAGAGTCTACCATGCGATTTCGGCATTCGGATGTGGCATCCGAGGCTCGCTCGGTGGCCGACTGAATTAGAACAAACAACGCGGGCAGATGCCCGCCGTGAACTCACAGAGCACAACATAATTCTCATCAAACGTTGCACAATACGCAATCTGACCTTGACCGAAAGAGCAACAAAATCCGAACTCTCCATTCTCAGGGTGCGCCTTGTTCTTGCGCACCGGGGCCTGAAACAGTGTACTCGCTCCAGCTGTCGGCAGTGCTGGAATACCTGAAGCTGTTCGCTCTTTCGGGATAGGAAGATATACTCAAAGCGGCCTATATCGGGGACCAGCCCGTGGCTGTGCTGCAACTTGTCATACTGGGATTCCCAAGACAACAAGGAAGTGATGAGTCAAACGCTCGACCTCATCTTCATAGCTCACGATCGAACCATAGGCAAATCCCAGGCTTTACATGTATATCAGGTCCTGACGACGGAGTATTTATGAGTATATGCTCTGACTTCCCAGACTGACAACACTAAGCCGTTTCCGAAACCGCCGAACTGCATTGCAGTCCTCGTCAAATATCGCCCAACACTTTGACAATCCGTTTCTTCACTGCGGATACTACGGAGCTCCTAGGTATGCATTGTTGTGCACCGCGCGTTGGATGTCCCCCCCCAACCCGGCCTGAACACTGAAGCATCCTGCAGCCCAAAGTGTGATCTCGTGAACCCCTTCAACCATCCTGATGCCCGGCCTGGCCCGGTAAGCCGCCCATCCTCCCCGACTACCCCAAGGCCTGAGGCAAGTTCCTAAAGACCTCTCATCGCTGTGGCAAAACTGTAGACCCCGAACATGTCAACCCTCAACTCCCTGATCTTCGCGCCCGGGCACAGGAACAGCGAGTCCAGCAGGGAACTTCCTCGGCCACCGAAGCCCAGCATCGCTTGGGCCGCTGGGTCCCAAACAGCTGAAGCATACCTGACAAAGAATGGTGCTTAGGGCTTGGACGGCTTAGGGTTCGGGCCGTCTTGCTCTTCGAGAACTGAACATGGTGGCTGCATAGGTTTCGCAACCCAGCGCGGCTGACTGGCTAGAATGATGCATCACTAGCATGATGCTTAAACGGTCGTTTGCATCCTCTCTCTGCCATCCCATGTTCTTACGTCTCTCCTTCGATCAGCCCCGTGTTCAGACGACATCACAGGGATTGTGTGTGTGTGTGTGCATGAAATCGTTAAGCAGTTAAGCAGGCGGAGGTCCAGGCCCTTGCACTAAGGCCCCGAAACGGAAACCGTGGCTCAATTGCAAGTGCCTGCGGGCGGTGATGCTGCCGGACGGGGAGAGCTGTGTCCAAGCGCCGTCGTAGCTCCAGAGATCACCCAGCGTCGTCTGAGAGTAGCGCTGGCTTTTTGTCGACAAGGCTGTTCTACCATGACTTAGAACCAAGTGTGCAAGCGGGCTAAAACGCAAGCTTGCGTCTTGTATGAACTACCCAGCAGGTCTGGGATGTGTTTTAGCATCCCGAAATTGCTACTGCATCTTCATGGAAAGCTTGAGGCAGGTGATGGATGCCAGAATCAGAAAGGGGCGTGCCCAATTGCTTCCACTGCCTTTTCGGGGCGATGGTCTAGAGATGGCGGTATTGGTGATTCCATGCCATTGAACAGAGTAGTATTTGGCGCATTATCCTTTGTGCATTGACTGGCTTCGTGCCTAGCGAATCCAATTTCAGGGTCCTGTGCCGGCAGGTTTGATTACCTCGACCGTTGGCTAAACCCTGTCTTCTTCTTCCAACGCTGGCTAAACCCTGGTCTTCTTGCTTCAAGCCTGAATGGCAGAGACCCTTTTCCACAGGCTTGAACTGAACTCGCCCGGCCAAATCCCTCGCAGCACATCGCACTCGTGGCAGAGACCCTAAAGCCTTAACTTTCGCTGGCAAAGAATTTCCTAAAGACTACCTGAGACAGCTAGGGGAGGTCAGTCCCTCCAAAAAAACCTGAAGAGTTGAGCTCTCGCTCACCTACCGATTTTCTGAATGGGAAAGGGAGGCAATTAAGCACAGCTGCGGTGTCCGACAAGCCGCAGCACATCCTCGGCTGTCTCTTAACGACACCTCCATATGTGACCCTGGAAGCCCCTGATTTTGCTTGAGCGTGGGCCCAAACCTACGTGACCAGCAGTCGGATTCTGTAGTGGCTCTGTGACGTTCTGTGCTGGGCTCGTGTCCTGTAGTCCCGACAACCCGAAGCTGCGTCCAGGGAGGAGCTTTGGGGCTTGTGGGGCCCGGGGCCTGAGAGGCTCGCAGGTGCTCTCATAGGGTTCTGGGGCAAATTTGCGTGCCCGCACATACTCAACGCCAAGCTCTGAAGCCAACGGCTGTAAAGCTGTCACAGTGCAGGCAAGCCGCAGCATTCTGCCACCTTACAGCTGGTTGGCTGGCTGGCCAAGCAATCTAACGACCATTTTTACACCGGATTTATTACGTTGTGCTCGCCCGGCCAGCACATCGCTCTTGTGGCGAGATGCGCAACGCTAAGTACGCACAATCTTCGCCTGAAAGCCCTCAGCAACGTGATGCTAGTCACATACCACAAGCGAAGAAAAGCTTTCAAGCACAGTCCTGGCCGAAGGGCTGCTTGGATCCCAGACGGCGACATGCCCCTCCCGGGCGGCTGGACCTGTTGCGGCGGGCGTGCTCCATGCATCAGTCGCACGATCGTAGATCAACAGGCTCCCCAAGCGAGTCCTTGGAAGCTTCGGATGAGGCGACATGGTTTGACATCGGTCGAAGCTCACACGTGTGCTAGGGGTTGAAGAAGCCGCATTTTCGCCAGATTGTACTGGTTAGGGGACTGCCGTTCCACGTTGATGGCCTGGGCACTGTGGGGTTCAGGTCCGAGACGGCTGTACCGTTGGGGATGGAACTGGCCCATGACGCAACCGCAATCTCACATCTGGCCGCTCGGAACCCGGATCTTCCACTCACAGCAGTCTTTATCTCTTTCGGAGTTTGTACTTGAACCAAGGACAGCAACGAACCTCGGATCTCCGAGAATCCAACCGCCAAGGCTCGATGAGCTGTCCAAGCCTGAGAGGATCAGGGGCGGAGCATTGCTTAATGTTACTCGGATTCTGTGATGATTTCGTACCACCACCACCACCACCACACCACCACCACCACCACCACCACCACCACCACCACCACACAAAAGCTCAAAGCTGTGCAGCCGATGGCCTCCGAAGACGATCATCCTGTCTCCGCTCTCGTCCCAGATCGCCGTGTGGCGCGAGCGTCCTGTGGTACCTGCAACGGGGGAACAACAGCCAGTTGCAGTTCCTCTGCAGGGGCAACAAGAAGAAACTCTGTCATGAGTCTTCTTCATGGTCTTGACGTCCACGCAGGAAACAAGAGGCTGGCTCGCTTGTCGTTGGTATGGACCGTTGTTTGCAAACAACGGGATTTTAGAACCATTTTGAACCCAGGCGGCATGGTCCAGAAGAACAATGGCATGTACTAGGGTCACGGAGGTTGAGACAGCATGCTGCACAATGCAGCGGAAATTGTATAGAACGTAACATGAGATACGAATGTCTCCAAATCCTCTCCGCATGGCGGGGATGGACCCGCCTAGAACCTCAATCTCCGGATGGGGCCTGTGAGCTCGGTCCATGAGTTGAGAGCGATGTCGTAGCGGTGGAGGTCGTTCAAGGTGTTGCTGCTGGTCTCCCCTGCAAAGATATACCTCCATGACGCTTTCTGCTGACTGTTCCTCTCACGGTTCTTGCATGCTTTGCGCGCTCATGATTCGTGGAGGCAGCAGCACCAGCAGCATGAGCAGCAGCATACGCATTCATAGCAGGGGTAGCCGGTGCTCGATTCGACTCGTGCTGGCGGAACTCGCATTCGCACGTCTGATTGCGAGACGTGCCCTGTTTGCACGCTCGTGCAAAACTGTGGTGCAGCATATGGCTTGGCGATGTCTTGACTTGCTAGAGTATATTATGCGTAATCATACCGATCTGGCCTACAAATCTCCTCCCTTGAGATACCGCTCACACAGTGAGAGTTGTACTTGAAAGAAACGGATTACGGTCGTCCTGCACTGGTCGACCTCTCTGGACTGGACAGGCAATAGCCGGTCTCTTCAAGCCCTCTACGATGTAGATCAGGCCAACAGGAAGATCAGGAAGCCTCACTCTCTGCCGTAGGGCCTGCGCCCGTAGTGCCACAGGGAGGCACGCCCTCTGTTGAAGGTCTGCTTTGGGCTCTTCTTTCGGCAGGCCTAAAGACGGATTGTGACCCGGGACCCTGCCTCCTCCCCTTTCGGTCTCTCCCTCTTTTTTACCTTCTTCTTCTTCTCCTTCTTTCTTCGTTTGCTTCTTCTTATCTCTCTTCTCTGGGCTTCTCCACAGAACACAACATAGTCGCAAACCCCGACGACCATGTCACACTCCAGAGCCTGTCTAATCGCATGCAAACTCCGACCAACTCTAGGTTCACAGACCAAATCTCTTCCGATTCCAGGGAACATTGTCCGAGCAGTGGGGTCTAGCACCGCAGAGTGGCGGTACCTGCAGCTACTTTACGCAGCTGGCACTTTGGAGCAAACAGGCGTTTATCAGAAATAGGGGCGTCCCTTTCGCTAGGCCTGAACTGTGCAGAAGCCCATGTCTCTAGCCCTGCATGTGGAAACTTACGGCATGGGGATGGGGGCCCCACCTCCAAAAACAAGATCATTCCGGCTGTGGAAGCGGAGCTCTGGCATCCCCCGGCAAACTGCATCTGATTAGCTTTAAGTGAAGGCTCCAGCACCGGTGTTCCAAGGGTCCGGAGTCGGCATCGCAGATTCCTACAACAGTAAACTGTAACAAAGACCAAGGCCGAAGGCCGGCCCGAAGCCAAAAGAAACTCTAAACCCTTATCAGGTGGGCCTTGCTGATGGCCCCGAGGCCTTCGACGACCAGCTGCCCCTGAGGCAAACAAGCTGCGACAAAGCAGCACTAAAGGGCGTGACTCGGTTTGATAAGTTGAAGGGTCGTTGTGTTTGGCTTCGAGGCTTGCAGCGGCCGTGCATCGGTACCGGCGTACTGCTCTGGCTTCCTCCTCGACAGATCCTTCCGATTTGGGGCTCGGGCCAAAAGTCACCAGGACAAAATGCGAGCATTGCCGTAGGAGAGGAGCCCATTCCAGATCCTCAACCCCTTTTCTATCCGCCAGTCAAGGCTCTCGAGCCCCAATTCTGTAGCACCGGTGCCTGGTGCTACCAAATCCTTTCTCATTCCCTGTCATAACCCGTCCCTCTTTCACCTCCCTCTCAGTCCGAGCATCGTTCCGGCACTGTAGAAATAGAGCTTCTCAGACTTGGAGTTGAGAGGAGCTGTGTTGCCACCGAAGACTAGAAAACCTCGTCGGTCGAAGAGTCCAAGAAATGAATGTATTGAGGGGTTCCTGCGATACTTTTGGCCATCTAGCTTTTTGACTCTGGCTGATGCTATTAACTCTCAGGCTGTTCTCCAACAAGCAGCAGCCCCAGCAAGAAGAACTGATACTTAAAAACAATCGTAACATGAGGGAAGTGATAACTCACAGCTGTCCTCTGATTTTCCGTCGCTGAAGTTTGCTTGTCCCAAAGCTCTGGGATGCTCGCAGAACAGTAGCACCAGCTTTCGCGAGCGGCTTGTGACATATGGGCCGAAACAAACACGGCGCCGGCCCTGCTAGAACCAATCACACATGGAGCCTCTCGCTTGCCTTCCTTGTTGATAGGCATTTAAGATATTTAAGGTGGTTGTGTGTCAGGATCCTGCCGGAAAGACTTTGCTTCTGGCTGCAATCAGGCAGCCGTTGCCCGCTGAATCCCACACCATAGAGTGTTCGCCTCAGTCAACCGCCTTGACTGTCCTAGTTAACCCTTAGCCGCCGTTAGCCGACGAGGTCCTGAAAACCCCACACCCCTCAACGGCCTTTAGATCGGTTGAAAGTCTCGACCCTGCCTGTTCAGGTCACGACACCTCTAAGGCTGGGGCTGCGGCTTTCGGTGTGAGGCTTAAGGTTCAGGTTCTATGGCTCGGATGGAAGTTCCAGGTTGGATCGACCCATGGACTCTCCGAAGAAGCGTTCCCCACTCTCACAAATGCTCTCGGCTGCAGCACGTGAAGAGGCAAAAAATCAACCCTTTGTCTGAAACTGCTGTATCCATGAAACTGCAAGTCGGACACCAGAACACTTCAAGCTCAGATTGTGAACCCGAAATTGACTTAACGCTTCGCATCTTCCAAAGAGCCTTTGGTCGTTCTTCGTGTATGGGACTGGCAGACTGCAGTTTGATTGATTTTGAGTGCAGCTTGGGATAACAAGGATGGAAGCCATCCTGCGGCAAAGACTGTTGCAGAAATCCGGCAACGCCCTGGGTGGCCCTGGCTTTAGCCTGGAGTCGAAGGCAATGCCGCCGGACCCTCGTTTCATGGGCCCCCAGCCCGGGTGCCCCTTCCCTGCCGCCCGATGAATGAGTGAATGAATGAATGATGGAATGATTGATTTTTTGATGGATTGATTGAATGAATGAATGAATGAATGAATGAATGAACGAACGAATGAATGAATTAAGGAATGCATACGTTGCCCGACTCTGGGCGCAGCCCCTCAAATACGCGACCTTGAACAGGCTTCCCTGCCTGTTTCTAACATTGCAATGCAAGGTTTCAGAATACAGGGCTCGCTGCAGAAACATGACGGACAAATTTCATTGGGATCAAACACTTCATTCTTATAAACGAAGGCCAAGAATCTGCGCCCGAGAGGAATGCCGAGCCGTGTTTCATCCGTCCATGTGTTGGCACTTGCCTCGGCTTGAATTCTGGAAGGTCCTGGCTTTTCAGCTATCTTCCAACTACCATCTTGCCTCGCGGTTTCCTGTGACCGCTCTGCGGTGCCTTGACGAAAGACATGGCGCAGTGTGCCCCGTGAAACCCAAGCAGCAAGGGGGGTGCGTAAACCGAAGGTAGCTGACGCTTCTACCTACCAGGTTACCAGGCTTCATCAGGTTGTCTTGAAAGGTCTCGTGCGCTGGCTCGGTTCATGTTCCGAACTATACCGAGACGAAGCGCCAACAACAGCAGCAAGCTACCACGACAGAAGCACCATGTTTGTCTGTTCAGTTTGAGACTGAGCTCCCGGCTGATGACCTACGAGCCCTGTTCGTTCTTTCCTTCTATGCCAAGTTGCCCGAGTCGATAAGATCACCTTGCTGCACATGACATCTCGTGTGGCTGCACCATAGAATCCAGAGATACTTCACAGAACTATAAAACAAAAACCGAACCACCTTTCTACGCACATGAACAAACTTTCAAAACATTTTTTCAGCCACTTTGCGACCTAGAAGGCCTAGAGTCCTAGAGGACCTAAACCCCAGAAGCCCCCTGAGAGCTGCCACATGTCAAACCCGAAACGGAAACAGCTTGCATTAGGATTTAGGGTTTAGGTTTCCGGAAACCTTTCCTGAACTATCAAAGCTCCCAAAACGACAGGGCGCCACAGCCAGAAGCCACTGCCCAATGGCGGAAAAACTTTCGGCGCCCCGAAGAGCGAAAGCAGCCATGGGAAGGCTTGTGGATTTAATGAGATGTTCCGACAGTTTGGGAGTTTGGGGTTTGGGGCCTGAGGGTGTAGCGATTTGCTGCTCACGGCTTCGGGTTCGGGGATTTGTTGACTTCATTTCTTCTCCTCGCGAGTGCTCGTATGAGAATGGCAAGACTAAGCCGGAACGTGCAGCTCAGCATCCCATCATCCTCCGGCCTGCCTCCGGCCACTAGAAACATCTGTGGCAGGGCTGGACTCGGTCTCGGCCTTACTAAAAGCATGAGACTGAGCCCCTGAGCCACGAAGTGGGGGCACAGACGTGGAAGACAAAGGGATTGTCCAACCGCTGCTCTCACCTCTAAGCAGTTGCCAGCCACCTTGATGATCCGACTGGACTCTCCCTCTCTCGCTCGCTCTCTCTCTCTCTCTCGCTATCTGTCTCTCGCTTCCCATCTCTCTCCCAATCCCATCATCGTAGTCGTGATTCCTGCTGCCAGTCGCAGTGTTGGGAGGAAGAAAGCTACTCTTAGAGCGCAAAAGGGGGCTTGCCTAGATCCAACTTCGAGCCCTGTCTGATTTCTCCTAAAGCCTTCGAAACACATTACCGTACTGAAGGTACCAACAACTTTCGAGCCGTTACAACATTCGCATGTGCGTTCGTTCCGAAAGTTGGATGTCTCTGCCAGTCCTGGACGTGATGTAACCTTTTTCGCAACAACCGGGGAGATCTGGCAGCACAAGGCAGCTTGCAGGCAATGTCACGAGTCCTTCATCAAACATCCGGCCTGCACATTTAAAAACGTAACTTCATGCACCAAGGGAACTTGCTGCGACGACGACTACTACCAATACCACCACCTTGCTGCTACGACTACTACAAGTATAGCTGCTACCACCACAAATACAAGAAACATTACTACAAACTACTACGGCTGCCGGCTACCACACCGTTACCACTACCACCCCTATGCTGCGGCAGTGCGACTACCACTACTATAACTTAGACAATAACACTAGCTCTACCACTACAGCTGTCGCATTGACTTCCCCTCCACGACGAAGACGACGACAATTCCTGCTGGTGCTCCTGTTTGGTTACAACCCTGCTTAAATAAATTCCTGTGCTTCAGCTGTGCTGCAGGCCTGCTTCTTTCAGAAGGGGGCGGCTGCTTCGGCTCAGCACCAGCAAACAGATGGTTGTCTGCAACGCCGGACACGGCT